TGAGGCCAGATGGCGGAACTGGTCGAGACCAGCCGATACATCTCATGAGTTTGCAATTTCAAGCTCATGCGGTACTTTGGTCGTAACCCAAAACTAATGATGTTTGCGATTTTAAACTTATTACGGTGTCTTTGTGGAATGTTATTGCAAGACTATTAAAACCCATAAATATAAACTGACGTTGACAATATGATAGTGGTTTTCCTAATATAGTGACGATTAATCAATTGTATTATGATGTGTAAAACTTTCATGTGATTGGCTGTGTGTTTGAAGGTCAAGGCCTTAAAGTCTCTTATACTGTATTGTAATTGGCTAATGGTTGACAAGTAATAAAAAGTGATTTTAAGCTGTCTCGGGGAGAAAGAGAGAGACAAGCAGAGAATCGAATGCAACATGAACTGAGCTTGTGTGTGTTTTTGTAAGTCTAGCGTGGAGAACAATCGAATCCCGATTACCTAAGTGAAAGGTTTCGAAACATTAAAAATACCTATCACACAATATTAAATACTTTCAACGTATGACATTTCTGTAAACAACTTACCGAACCTGAAATTCGCTTCGCAATTACAATCGTCAACATTGGGCGGTGCTGTCAGCATGAAACATTGAAATAAAAAATATTAAGAAATGAAAACATGTTGGTGTCTAGTCTCAATTCCGTAATTCCAAATATATATTACGAAATCTCGTACGTTCTAGTGTGAAGTTCCGTATTTCACGTAGGCACTAAGTTAAGTCAATCCCCAGTTGTGCACATATAATTGATACATATTATACTACACATCAGCGATGTACTGCTCCCATCTTGCAGAAAACTGAAACATGATTCGCATAACCATCACAGCGTAGTCTCCATCCATGCAAGCTTTTCTACACCAGCCTTGTGTTCCTCTGTGGCGCCATCGCTGTACGCGATTGGATCATACTGGCAATCACTGGGTAGCCTTTTTGATTTATATCTCAGGTATCTGAGTTGCACCAGAACCACACAGCCAGCAAGAATCGTCGTTACTCCGCCCATTATGAATGATATATTGTAGTTTGAGGTTACGTCATACAGCCAACCTACAGAGGAAAGTTATATACTACCATTATATATCATAGTTAGTTTGAGTGATCGGTATTACCCCAAGGATATTAAACTATACTAGAATTGTCGATCGGATCTATCATGCGCCAAAGTTCCATGGAGTACATTTTCAGCCTTGGGATTATATTACGAAATCTAGAATGCGCGCCACACTGTGACAGTGGGTGAATTCTGACCCCTGAATTTGACCCAGAATGCTAAGTCAATTTTCTCCAGAGAGGTCTTATATTCGCTACCAAATACCCTCGCTTCCCGCTTAAACCATCATTTTACTTCTATGAAGAAAATAGACCTTCCAGGCAAATTACCATCGAGGTATCGCTTAGAGCGAGAGTCACGTGACTTGTTTTTCCCCGCGCACATTGTTTCTGTATGTAGCATGTGGAACAGTGGGCGCGATGACGGGTGAGTCTCTTCGTGGCATTCTCGTTCTCAACGCGATCGCGACGGCCATTATCTGTGGTGACCTCTCTCATGGTGAATCAATTTCGAACCTACAATTGCCCTAGAAGCGCATCTCTAACATAAATGCGCATGAGCATTCTGGGTCATTAGACTAAATGAGATCCATGTACCGATATGGTAACGTATTGATTTTAATTGTAATTATGTTAAAATCATCATATACCTGCAACTGGCGGACCAATCATACTTCCGATGCCGGAGCAAAGAACATACCAACCAATAGCAGTCGGTAAGTCATGAACACCAACACACAGTTTTAAGCTTACTGCGTAAAGCGGACCAGCTATACCTAGACTTAAGCCATATGCAGCCGAGACCGAGGCGAACACTGCATATATGCCATTGGTCAAGGGCATCGTCAATAAAAAGGCACCAGCTAAAATGAGTGTTACCGCGAACACCGCCATCGGGGAGACGTAACCGAGATCAATGAACCAACCATGTGCAACTCGTCCAATCATGTTGGCAACACCGAAGACGGTGAGGAGCAAGGCGGCATCGAATCCGAGGATGTCCTCGTGCACGGCTTTAGACACAATGTGAAATAATGCAATATAATGTCCAACGCCTGTCAGTAATCCAGCAGCGCATACTACTCTCAACCAAGAATTATGACGCCACAACACAATAACGGGTGAGTTGTGTAAAGATGAACAGATATATCTGGCTACAGATCGTTGTTCAGATGTCGGTACGCCATGTTCACCGGTATCATTCAAGGCACTGTCGTCAACACTGTTATTCACTTCTTCTTCAGACAATCTTCTATTATTTGTCAATTTCCTAGCTTGTGTTCTGTACGGGTATGGCGATCTCATCAGTAGTCCGCACACAGCTACATTCAAATAAATCCCGGATATAACGATAAGAGCGCCCCGCCATCCATATTTTCTTATTAGGAGCTCGTATAATGGTGGAAATGTTATCATACCAACTCCAACTCCTGCAAATACTATCCCATTCGCCAGGGCATGACGTTTTGTGAAATGTTGTCCAATAATTACTATACTTGGGGCATAGAGAAGTCCAAGTCCAAATCCTTAAAGAAATAACTCCATGTTAACGTATAAAAATTGTTATCTAGTTTTAGTTTAGTGGATTTAGACAATTTCGAACTTTACAATGCCATGAACAGACAAACAAGTTATTCACTGTTAAGTCAGCTGGCTACACACATTAAGCTCCATGCTGAAACCTCCAAAATAACATACTGAACCAAAACCGTTCTGTACAAATGCAGTAGTGGGGATATGTTCACGGATATTCAACAGTAAAAATATTTGCATTATAGTGCCAAAATAGAGAAACTAGCAAAATTTAAAATGAAGTATCATGGGTATTTTCTAGTTAACAGTGCACAAATTCAAAAATGAGTTTAAAATCGCCTTCCATCGATCATTCAACAGAAACTTCTATATTTATAACATACATAATGCAAAGTACACACCATCATTCACAAGTCTGATTAAGTATGTTAATGCAAAATGTTGTAGTTTAGGTGTATTTAAACACAGAATTGTAGTTTTCTGTCGCTATTAAGATGAGAATTTAGTTTATTTTTGAGCTTAACGACACGACCGAGGAAACTCGCTATTTTATGAGATTTTTTTCTTCACCTGCTACAAGAACCTATCATCTTGCCCGCACGAGTATAGAATATTGAGTTCTTTGGTGAAAAGTCAGTTGATTAGAATGTTGGAGGGGGCACTGATCGAAGGTTCAGTAGTGAATGACTTGTTTGTTTATGGTATTATAATGCTTGACATCGCCTCTAACTTATGACGTAGTCATTGTGTATTGTACAAATACCTTGGATAATGCCGTAACTGAAATACATCCATTTCAAGCTAGTTGCGAACGAGGTGACGAGGTTGGCAACCATCGATAATAACCCTCCAGCTATCACTAATGGGCGGCAACCGAACCGTTTAGTTAAAACACCGACAAGTGGGGCTGTGAAAATAAAAATTGTGTAGTAAAACTAAAAAATACGTCACCCAAAATTATTAAAATAAATTATTAATTTGACATTATATTTTAGTTTTGCTTATCACGCCTAACACGGTACGTTCTATGTTAGAGATTTTCGAGTGCAAATATTATTTACACTTTCGTACTTAATGTTTATTTACGTGTGACGGATACACAGCATCATCTGTCGTCTCGAATATTGGAAAATGTTCGTACACATCTCCTCATGCTCG